AACGGACGGAGCGTTGTTTGCGTGAAGAACTGAAGCGTAATGGAAATTCTCGGAATTCTGATTGGGTATAATTGGCCAATCTGAATTCTTTGAACCGTTCGAAAGTGGACAGACAGATTTCCCGAGAGATTTCTTAATGCATTTCAAATCGAGCCGGCTTTTCTTCTAATTCGTTTTTGCTGAAAGCTGCTCGTAATTAAAATCCTTTTTGTCTGCTTTCTTCCTTCTATTGCTGCTTTTGCTTCAATATTGTTTCAATCTCCCATGATATTGTGTATTTTATAATAAATAGTTGGCTAGAAGAGTGAATCGGGTGAAGCAAAAGGCTGTAATTAAGGACTCCTTATTGCAATGCTAAGAGTACCAAAGAGGTTTTTTTGATCTCCCATATGCCCAATGTAAAATTTTTGCCCCATGAATCCCCAATTTTTTTCTGCCAATCTGTTTAGGGTCATTCAATTATCATCTTGTGCAATTTTTAGCAAAAAATTTCGGGCAGATTTTTTTTAATCGCCAAAAACAAAAATGTCCATAAAACGCCATGTTAAATTTCAAAAAATCATATTTCAAGATTAATCCGCGCGACCCCCCATTTTTCTTTGTGCAATCAACTCCACTGGTGGGTAGGAATTTATAAAAAAATCAGGGTCCAAAAATTTCGGGCCGATTTTCCGCAAACAGGAGTTGTAGATGTCAATAAGGAGGCCTTAAAATTTTATCGCTCGCCAGCACAAAGTTAATGGTGCAGAAGAAAAGTGCCAGCGGGAGCGATTTAATTTTCCTGTCTGCGTCCACTTCTGTTCGAAGCACTTTTAAATTGCGTCTGTGGAAAATGGTCAATCTAGAAAAAACACAGACCGCTGGTCGTGATATATAAAACTGATTACTTCTGATAGAGAAGGATCTGGTTCTAATGCTTACAAAGGGCTCGGCAACTTATCCAGACAATCCAATTTTTATTGAGATTCTGATAACATAAGTTTAAAATTTAATTCTTTTTAGTAAATTATTTTTTAATACAAATTATCAAAGTTATTAAATAACAAAGTTTCCTTTAGTAGCAGATAAAATCTAACGATGTTAACAAGGCGTCAATTTAGACAATTTTGAAAGTTAGTGTAATAATTTTCTAAAATACTTTAAATTTGACACGCATATCATTTTAATTTTCCAAGGCCTTTTAAGACAAATAATTAAAATTATTATTGTTTATTATGTGAATTTCAAATCAGGTAGAAAATAATTTCAATTTTTATATGATGAGCCCACTCGGAACAGGCAGAGCTGACTGAATTACTGAAATCAATTGGATCATTTTGCCACGAGTTCTACAAGCAAAGTTTTTGCAGAACATTCCGTCAGTCGGTTCACCTACCTTTCTTCTCACACAAGTTAGGCCAGGCGTAAAGTCTACTTATCTGCATGACTAACAGTGGCAACAGCCGTGTCTGACGGAAGGTCTCTTCCAACTTTTGATTCCCGGTGAATCTATTTCAATTCAACGATCAAGTAACTCGAAGATAAAAAGATACGGTTAATGGAGACCTATTTTATTTAACGTGGTTTTCCTGCACAATATTTGTTGATAATAATAATGCAGTTCAAGAACCAATAAAGAAAAATAAGAATAATTTTAAATTATACGGAATATTCAGAAAAATTTCTTGAATTTCAAGCCTACATTTTGAAGTATTAATTTATTGAAATTGCCAAACAGTGAAAATAAGAAAATATAAAGATAAAAATAGTATTAAAAAATATTCAAAAATTTTAACTTTAGAAATTGTGTTAAATGGTTTTTCTCTCTCACAATTTATAATTAAGTACTACTAAATTTTCAAATTCAGAATGTATAAAAAAACATATATTTTGCACTTTGGGAAAATAATTTAATTGAAAATACTTGAATTGGAACCATTTTTGTCACACGCGCTTTCATTATCTGTACAGTAGATTAAGAGGATCGCATTGATTTCGCACTTTCCAGCAGCAGCGCGTACATTTATGCATGTATAGCCGTAATGGGACTTTGTATAATTCTCTCTCTAGAGTGCTTCGCAGTCGGTTAAAATGAGTGCACATTTCCATTTGCGTAAATTACACCCGGAACACAACAACAAAGTCGATGGTGCCGTGCAAAAAATATTGTGTGGAATACAGGGGACCGTGAGAGGAATGGGAAAAGCGGGGCTCGCAGGTGCGGCAACGAATTGGAGTGCGTGTGCCGTTATGCAACCGGGCGTGCGGGCAGGAAATACGGCACAGTATCGCGCGCGCCTGCCAGTTAACAAAAACACACACTCGTCGGTTGTTCTGGGCGCAACAATAACAAACAACATTAAGCCAGCGCAGGCCGACGACTATTGATCTTTAGTTGTCACACCTCGGTGGCCGAGCGACGCCAACTTTGCTCATGCATACATTTATTTACGAGGCCGGATGAGCAGCACGTACGCGATATTAATACTTTGGCCACCTTGGCTAAGCGTGTAACTCTGTCGCACACACGGTGTCAAACCGCTCCCTCAAGGGTAATTAACCGACTCATTCGTCTTAATTTGCATCCGCCGGCCAAAAATGAATGTTTTGCCCCGAAACTCGGCAGCGGCGCTGTTTTGTCGGCTAAAAGGGAGAGTGTCGTTGTGCCTCGGGCGAAAAGTTGCCACCCAACTTTTAAAGTTTTGATGGCACCTCTTTACCTGCGAGAAATGAATTTTGCATGGCACCGGTGTGCGAGAGAGAGAGATGAAATGGAATTTTTAGTTAATTGCCTCGCAGGAGCCAAAGTGCTGGGGAGCTCGCAAGTGCTGAGCAAAAATCGCTCGAGCCGGCGTTAATTGAAACTTTCGTTTTTGCTGATTAAAATTTCCCACGCAGTTTCATACGTGTTTACTTGTGCAAGGGAAATTAATTATTTCCACCGAGCAGAGTTTGCTCTGTGAAGCCAATTTAGAATTTTAATAAAAAAATTAAATTGCCAATTATGTTGCTATTTCTTTAAATCAAAATATTTCATTTTTTTAAACTAAATTAGAAATAAAATAATTATATGAATCAGCAGAAAAATTTGGATAATTTTGAAAACTGGATTTAATTATAATTTTAAGAATTCCACTGACTCTGAAACAAAACCGAAACCACGATTCAAAACTTTTTAACTCTTTTGCGGTCTGTGCTTACAACACGGATATATCTGCAATTATCGATCCCGTCGTCCTTTGGTAAAACCACCTTGTTTTTGGTCTCGCTCAGCACCACCGGGTTCGAATATACATGTTGGTTCGAATATGACGCGACGCATAAATGGCAGTGACAGCCTTTCGCGGGATAAATAACTGCGGGCGCTACAAGCGGCGAAAGAGTTGCGTTTCGCCCACAAATATCCCGAAAACACACAGCGCGGGCAAAAACACATGCACGCGTGGCCGTACATTTCAGGCCATAATTTTCCGGCTGCTTTCATGTTTCAAAAGGTTAATGTTCCGTATATTCATGATGATATTTGCATAACTCCTGGAGATAGCGGCGTGTACTGTGAATTCGAAAGACGGGGAGAAAAATAATATATATAAAAAATAAAAAGGAGAGAAAAATAAAAGAATCGACGGCATTTCGGGGCAAGTCCGTGATAAAAGCTAGCGGGCACGGCAATAAAAGTGGGCCTTTTGTTGTGTATTGCATATCAGCGAGTGATGTATTTTATGAATTCCTCTGGCCGTGTGACCTTCCTCTCGTTTTCCCTTGTCAGTATGACGTTGCCACCGGAATCGCGGCCATAAAATGCGGATCCGTTTCGCGGCATGAGAGAAAAAAAATGTTATTTCGGGAACGAGAGAAAGCCATAAATTCAAGAAAAATCCCTTTCTTGTACTTACACAAGTGAAATTTGTCCACGGATTGCTGGAAAGGCAGTAAATTTTCCTCCTTTCGTGCTTGAACAGGCTGACAAAAAATCAACCGCGGCGTTCAAGTACCGCTCCGAACCGAAAAAAAAATATTAATACAATAAAATGCATGTCGGCAACACATAGCACGGTTGGGCAAATCACGACATTCAGGGAAACGATGTAAAAAATGTATATACTTGAGTAACGATTGGCCAGGATTCTTATTTTCATCTCGTGAGAACGACTTCTTGCTTGCTCTTCAGTCGGTTTTATTCAGAGTCTGTGGAGGGAAAATTGATTAAATCGCGACTGAAGGGCCCACTTCTTCTGTGAGAAGAAAAAAACGTGCCCCCGCCTGTTGAAGTGGATTTCACGCGTTGGTATCCGAACGAAAAGTTGTTGCCGAAGCGACAACTTTCTTTCCACGTCAATTTCTGTTGAGATAGGTTTCGCTCTGGATCAAGTTTTAATTCGCGGTAAAAGTTTGCAAGCTCCTTAGCAAACAAAGTTGCTTTGGTAAATCCGACACACATCAGTGGGGTGCCCTGTCAAAGGGGATGAAGTGAAATAACGTGGCACTTGTGTTGAAGACCATGTCATATTATAAAAAACTGTTTGAATTTTAACTTAATATTGATTTAAATTTAAGATTAATATTTAATTAATAACTGTTTGATTTCAAATTTAAGTTTTTTTTGTTATTTTAATATTTTATTATGTTTTATGGTTATATGATTTATTTTCTTAAATTATTGGATTAAATTAAGTAAAAGATACTGATCTAAGTGGAAGGTACTTTGAAAGAAACTTTTTTAAGTCTCCTTCACCCCATAATGAACAGAGTTATTAGTAACAATCTTTTATGCAAATGTTGTTTGGAAATGAAAAAGAACCTGGAAATTTGTATTTATTGAATTGATGGACTTTGTTTACTTTAAAATTTAAATTTGTGTCACCTTTGGAATAAAAAGAAATTAAGTAAATTATTTGTTTTATCTGCTATTAAAGAAATATTTTTTTTCTAAACTCATCTACATCACTCTTTATAAATAATAAAATATAAAACAGAGTTCATTAAAAAAACTACAGCGTATTTTTGTGTTGTGCTTTCAGGGCTGCTGAGACCGTGAGTGCGACCGGCCGTCCGCCCTGAAGTATGGGGTGCAGCACCTGCGCGTGGACATGAAGAGCGCGTCATTGCATTTTTCGTTTCTCCTCCTAGCCTTTCTGCCGCCGCAATGTCCCGTCGTTCCCGGCCCCCGGCTCACCCTGGCGCAGCACGTGTCCACGCTGGACAAGTGTCCGCCGCTGTCGCAGAACCCGTCGTGTCCGTGCTACAACTTCGAGGACGGCATCTTCCTCGAGTGTCCGGCCATCTCGTTCGGGGCGCTGCGCGGCGTGCTCGAGCTGGTGCGCGCGCCCATCAAGTCGCTCAGCCTGTACGACCTGGAGAAGAACCTGACCGTGTTCCCGGACAACCTGTTCCCCAACCACACCGCCATCACGCACCTCCAGATCACGCAGTCGTCCATCAAGAACCTGCGCGACAACAGTCTGCAGACGCTCAGGGTGTCGCTCGAGTCGCTCGGCATTTTGCACGCGCAGCTCCAGAGCGTGCCCCAAAGGGCCCTTTCGGGCCTCGCCCTCAGAGGCCTCAACCTCGAGGGCAACTTCATCACAGAGCTTCCTAGTTACTCCTTTTATGGACTGCACCTAATGAAGGTAAGCGCCACTTTTGCCAACTAATCTAGCTCATTCGTCGCCATTTCAAACAGTTGTTATGCCAGTTAATCCCGTATGCAATTATGACCCATCTAAATTTTAAATTCCCGCCGAATCTCAAACTTCAACGATAATTTAATGAGATAAACGTTTTGAAGTAACTTTGGGTGAAAAATTAAACCGCAATACCCGGCAATAAACTCAAAAAATTCCTTTAGAAATTTTCTGTTTTATTGAAGGAAAATAAGCGAATATAAGCGAAAACTCACGACTATTTATTAAAATGCTTTAATGACCTGCATCAGGTTGAATAGACGGCAGACCTTCAGATATTTTATAATTTAAAGATTAATAAATAAACCGACGACCGAGATACCCGAATCAGGTACAATAAACGTCAGACCTACAGAATTTTTAAAATTCACGACTATTTAGTTAAAAATGCTTTAATGACCTGCATCAGGTTGAATAGACGGAAGACCTTCAGATATTTTAAAATTAAAGATAAATAAATAAACCGACGACCGAGATACCTGAGTCAGGTACAATAAACGTCAGACCTACAGAATTTTTAAAATTCCAGAAAATATAGTAATATGCTTTAATGAGTCAATTTCACAATACGGCAGATCTTGTTTATAGTACTAAAAATTTAATGTTACTCCTATTGTATATATTATAATCTCATTGATATATTTATTTACGGACGATCCTAATGTTTGATAAGATTACCGAGCAGATTTCCGTCTTCTCCTTCGCGTCCGCTAGCTTTTTCTCTTGTGACAATTATTACTGAATTTATATTTTATTAGATTTTGTTGCATTTGAAATATGTTGAAATATCTGTTAATGAATAATAAAAAGAAACCACCAAGTGAATTCTAATAATCGATGTAATTCATAACTTTTTGCAAATTTCGTTAGTGTTAAAAGTAACAATTCAATTGACGAATTCGTTACTCTTTTCTGTTGAACTTGATTAGGCTAATCAGTTTGTCGAGACACGTCGTCCGTTTTACGCCGGCCCAAATCGATCAGAGCGGCTCGGCCATGCATTTTGCAAGTGGAGCAAAAGAATAGGGTTCGCCGAGCAAATGGCAGACACATATCGTGGCGTAATAGTCCGTGCGGAGTTCAAAAGTAGTGTCCATTGCAGTAAAGAAGGAGCAGCAGCACGTCCGAATCGACGAGCCATTGTTTGGGCCGAAACAAATTGCATTCCCATAAAGGCTCTTTATTGGGCTCCTTTTGCTCAACACGAGAGTTATTTGCAGCGTGTAATTCTTTACGACCCGTCCATAAAAATATGTTGTTCATCTCGTACCGGCGGGTAATAACAACTTTTTGTCCGATATACAGCAGCTCGGTGTGCATTAGTGGAATTCCGTGATATGCCGTAACATCTTGCGTGTAGCCCACTAACACACTAACGGCGGCAAACTCCTGCCTGCTGAATAATGTACCCGGCACGTGCACACCCCCTTGTGCAGTCTATGATAATGGCCCGGAATGGCGAATTCACCTGCTGTCAGGGGCGCGTTTCGCCCCGCGCTATTCAAATGCGATCCCGGCCGATGAGAGACGCGGCTGTCAGTTGGTTTTCGCACGTATGTCATTTCTGACTATGAAGATGCCTTGAATTCCATTCAAGTGACGTGCGACTGCTATAATAACCTATTTGCAGTTGAAGTTGATATGCCAATATTTATTATTTATACACCTCGATATGCGCCGTCCTTCACCTTTTTTCACTTGAAGTTACTAATAAATATTTATAAAAAAGTATCAAATTGCAAATTAAAATTTAAGCCCAATGTAAAAATAAAAAATATTCTTTGAAGTTAACTTGAATAAAAAGCCACTTCTTTTGAAACTGTTGATCTAGAAATATTACAATTTAATCAATTGTAAGTACATGAAATACGTGTCAAGGTTAGATTATTTAAAATAATAAATTAAATGAACAGGAAGAATCTAAGCCAAATCTTGGAATTGTGTAGGTAACCATTATTAAAAAAAAAAAAGAAAAAAAGAAAAATGAAATATTAACAATGGTAATTCTCCTATCGCCACGCATAATTTTCTGTTTCATCTTTTGAATAGCTCAAAAAAAATTAATCATGGATGTTATATTTGTCTCATTCTAAATATAGGTATTTTTTAATAATTATAAATGATACTGAATTTCTTTTTCCGAATTTAAAAATTTGTATATTACCTTTAAAGAAGGATATTTATTTGGGCAAACTTGAATTATCTTTTTGAAGTAGAAAAGCAGCCAAAATTATATTACTATGAATATTTTTAAATATTAATAATACCGCATAATTGAGCTTATCAACCGGATTAATTAAATCAAAGTTTAAATCTGTATTAATTTTAATACAAACCATAATAATTATCATGTTATTAGTTATTACGTCAATAGTTGTTATATAAAAAAGCTTAATTCATGCAATATTAATCTCCAAATTAAGCCTTTTCGTTGGCTATTCGATATTCCTTATGCCGCATTGTAAGACGTATAATCCCAGCACCAACTTGACGGTGCCAGAGCAAACATCCGATTTGCTTTGCGCGCCACCAAGTAAACGGGTCTTCTGCTGGCTGCACGCAGTGTTATGCCATCCCACGGCCTAAATCCGCCACTGGCTGGTAGGCCCAAAGAGTAACAAGTTTGAATAATTCAGCTTCTTAATATATGTGACAACATAGAGCACACTAGAGAGCGAGCGAGCAAGAAGGCCTGCCGCTTTTCTCACAGAACAACGGGGGTAATAATAATACTCGCGCGCCCCATTCTCTCCTCGCACAGAGGCTGCGGTGATACTGCCTACTATAAAGCAGTTGCGGAAGAATTAGGGCGGCCCCTAGCGTGGATGCAGCCGACGGTGTGCGTGTTTAAGAAGAAGATGAGGTGAAACACCGAGAGAGAAACTCGGAGTGAAAAAGAATGGGCGGAATTTAATTTAGTGCTGCATGCGAAAAGCGTGCCCACTTTCGAGAGGGAAAGGAAGAAAGTTTTGTGAATTTCACCGAAAGATTGATTGAGGGGTAATTTTCTTGATTGAAGTTGGATGAAGAAGTTTGAGGTTGAAAAGAAAATTAGTACACATAAGCGAGTTTGGCCATCAAGCCTCTAATCCTATTATAATATTATCTTTTAAAGCAATTATGTTGCAAAAGTTTGATTTGAACTTAAAATTTTTCAACATATATTAATTGAATCGTCATATAGGTTGGAAATTCTTTTTTAATTTATTTCATAAATTTTCTAAATAATACTTTTAACATTGGAAATGCTGTTTTTTTTTATAGGTATGTTTTCTTATTATTTATTCAATAGACTGGAAAAATTCAGTTCTTTGCCGAAAGCGGAATTAATCTTGAAAAATCAAAGTCAATATTCATAGGATTCATAGTATTCTCCTTCTTTATTTATAATGCTGAAAATAAAAATATTATTTATATTAAAAAAAAGTTCGCGTAAAATCTGGTTGAATCTAGATCAGATGGATTTTAAAATTAGGAAGTGAAAGGAATCAAAATATATCTTTATTTAAAAAAAAAGAAACTTTTGAGGTCCCATTTATTGTATTATTTTTTGCTTTAAATGAACGAAATTAGCTTTTCTATTATATAGTATAATTTTATGATAATATAATTATATTGATAATTTTAAGTGATTAAAAATAAATAGGATCAATTAACTTTAAAATGGTGGATGATGAAAGAGTTTCTACATTTTTTGGATTGTTGTATAATTTTCAAACTTCGAAGAAAATATGTTTAAACGTAAAACCTTCCTACCTTTATTAGCAAAGCTTGGTTATATATTTACCAACGTGGGAATTAAATTGAATAATCATAGCAGACGTAATTAATCATTTCACCGCAACCGTTCCCTTTGAAGTTAGTTTGACGTCAAACGCAGGCAGTTCCGCCACTGCGAGATAAAAATTAGAAAGACATGAAACTTGGAATAATCATCCAAGTTCGCCGTGCAATGTTGAAGCTGGCGACTTGAAATAACCTCTCGATGCGCCACCACGTGCCAGGAATACGCGTGCAAAACCGCAATTAATCATTGTCTCTCCCTTGGCGGTATGCAAGGAGCAAGTTAAATGTGTGCCGTCTCCATAATGTGCAAAATCCTCGGCTTTAATTCCTCTCCAGGCTCCCTCGACGAGCCTTTCCGCGCGCGGTGCGGTGCAAATATTTGCAGCGCCCCAGATGATTTCCTGTGCAGCTTGCTTTCCGTGCGTTACTTAGTTAGCTAGTTTATTGATTCAGCCACTCACATAGATGATGAATATATAATTCTTGCACTCGATGGAGTTCCTATTGTGGTTGCAAGAGATGATGCGCGACCCAATCTTTGCGTCTCTCTCGTTCTGCTCCATCTCCCCGAGCACGCATAAAAAATTCACGACTCATTATAGAGCAATTCCTGCCTCCATCTTGTACCAATTTTGGTTACGAAGTTTAAACAGATCGCAACAATTTTGAGAGCGTTGTTGGGTCCTCACTTGTCGGAAAATTTGCAGGTCTATAAAGAAGATTATGATTTGAGTTCAAAACGTTGTCATTGAAAAAAGTTCTTAATAGAATATTTTTTATATTCCTAATTCAGATTTTATTGTTTTTAATTTTTAATTGTTTAAAAAAATCTATAAATTGAGTGAAACTGAGGTCCAATTTAAAAATGCAGAAAAATATAAAAGTTAGCTGATGTTTAATCAAATAATTTAATTTCGATTGAACTTTAAAATAGTTTAAATTATCAAAAAGTAACAGTTTATTTGTTTCTTTATTTCACCTTCTTCAACTTCACTGTTTAAAATTTTTGGAATTCCTGCCTATGCCGATTAGAATTAGGCTAACGTAGAAAAGCATTTTTTGTCTCTTTTAATTTACCTGAAAGAATTTCTCTTTTAATTACAAATAAAAAAATAAACTGCGAAATTGTTTTTTCCTAAATTAACCAACAAATTAGCAAA